GAAAATTATATTCAATGCAAGATGGAATGTTTCGGCTTATGTAATAAAATGGATGGCAATGTGATTTGTTTTTTTTTTTTCAACATTTCAATACAATTTTCCTCTTCTCATGATGTAAAAAAAGCGGAAACATTTTTCGTAAAGGATTTGATATCATTTGCAGTTTATGAATGGCATATTTTTCTTCAAGAAAATTGTTTAGAGGAGATTAGACCAAATGACAAGAACTGAAAGCTTTAGGCTTACTCGGACAGATGAATATAATCTTTGCGGAGGAAATGGATGGTTATATCTATATTTCAACCGAGAAATCAGTGTTACTTGCGAAGATATATGATGAAAGGACAAGTTTTAATATTGTAGAGAAATCGATGGAGCCTAGAATAAAGTGGTAGATAACTTCAAGATGAGCTGCCGTCACAAGTTAGATATGTTGCAATCAGTGACAAACGGAAAAGCAAAAATTATCTGTCTGTAATGAGGACGATGGATTGGTGAAGAGTGTTGGCTTGTCACTTTATTCTAAGATCGAATTGTTCATCAAATAAATTCTTTAACAAATGTCGCAATTATGGAAGCAAAGTTATCTGGATATATGCTTGACCTTTCTGCGAAAGACGTGAACGCTTGATCGGTCATCGGAAAAATAGGGCAACTGGACGAAACAAAGGCTAAAAGACTGATAGCAACAGATATGATCCGATTGTATGCATTAAAAAACTTGACTCATCGTGATATGTTTTAAATTTGATTTTATCTTGTTGAACTTGATTTTAAATTTATTTTTATTTCTACAAATATTCGAATTTAGGGGTGAACCCGATTGGTCATTGGAAGATGTGGACTGTGTGTTACACTGGATTGCTGGTGGTACCATTTCTGAAAGAAAGGGAACAGAGCTACTGAATGTTATCTTCGGGAAATCTCTTTCTCGTTACACTGTTCGTTCAAAAGTGAAAGCATTGAAAGAAAAGGTAATAGAAGAATTGGAAAAACGAAAGGCAAGCAAATAGGTTCTACTAGTGGTGCAATCCCCTTCAGATTGCCAGTGAGCTTATTTGCTTGTTTTTTTTATCTTAGTTAAATTTAATCTGTCCTATTTTCTTTTCTACGTTTTAAAGAAATTTTACAAACAGCTAGTGATATTACTTTAAAATAAGCTATTCTATATATTTCAGGAGCGTGTATCTAATACAACTATTAACGAACTGAAAGAAAGTAGTGATAACGATAACGAATCGCAGTATCGTATTGTGGAAGTGGAAAGTGTAATAGTTTTTGTTTTTGTTTTTCAACTTCAGTTTTGTTTTAGGTTGTTTCCTTTTTTAGAAGTTTTATTTTAAAATTGTTGATTTTTACTCCTAAAATTTTAAAAAGTTATCTTTGGAAATGTTACATTTGAACTATTGAATTATGACATGGTTAGAAAATCAAGTGAGCAGATCATTCTGAACTTGTTCCTTTCTTTCTTTTTGTTTGAAACGAAGATTAAGATAGAGTTTAAGGATCAAAGTTTGTTCTAGAATGATAAGCATTCTGCACAAGCCTTTTATTAACGTTTAAGCCTTTATATTGTTTACCTTTTAAAGTTGTTGTTGGTTTTTCAAGTAATATCTTTCAATAAATTCTCGACTTTGAAAAATTTCTAAGACTATGCCTTATTATGTTTACCCATTTTAAAATTTTACTCCTGCTTTATATGTTGTTGACAGTACTGCTTTCATAACTTCTGATCTAACTGGTGTTAGACGCAACTCTGATTAGCGTTCATATAATTTTCCTAATTATAAATAATATTATATTAATCTAAATAAAGAGCGGCACAATCTGTCGATACCCTTTACATTAAGATAGTTACAGTTATTTAATAACATGCTTTTACAAATATAATTATATAAAGTGGGATTCTGATTTTTGAAATGTTAAAGTAAAACCATGTAGAATTCAGAATAGCTTTTCTTTTTATCAATGTTTAAGTTGTTTTTTTTTTTTACTTAAAACAAGTAATGTTTTGTTCAACAAGATAGTACTTAATAAAAGAGATAAATTTTAATATCATGATCATATAGCATAAACTCTAGAAGTATTAGAAAAAATTACGAGTAATATTTTAGACTAACGAAGAAAAATAAAGCTCTAAAATAGAGTTAGTATTGTCAAATACTAAAAAAAAAAATGAAATGAAATGCAGATATAAGTAATCTAATGTTTGAGGACTTAAAATTTTTCTATTATAGGAAAATGGTGATGTGAAAACATATACAGAACTGATGAATTGCTCAGCTAGTTGTAGCGATGTGGCTTATGAGAATGGTGACACACTTTGGAGTACGGATGTATACGATTTGAGCTCAAAAGAGGAAATTGATGTAGGCTTTTAGATAATTACATGATTTTGAGTTTATATGTTTATTTACTTTATCGTTGCATAATTTCATCTGTTTTTTTCACTGGAACATACATTCGGATATTTTCTCAGTATTAAATGAAATAATTGATATGATTTAGAACTAGCGGTTTTTTTTTTTTTTACGTTTTAAATTTAATTTTTTGAATCCTAAAAATAAATCCTTATGAGTAAAAATAATTAATTTATGTCATTAATGAAGATCTAATTGTTTGAATTCAGATGTTTAACTAATGAAGTATTGAAGCTTATGAGTGTAAAGCAATAGGTATTAATTAAGATAAATAATGCATGCTAAATATAAATATATACAAATATGAGTGTTAATTTGCTCAATTTATTTTTTAGGTGAGTAAAATTGAAATTACACGATTGTTAAATCGACGAGGCAATTTGGGACTTATTGCAATAGCAGAAAATAATGGCTATCGTGTATATAGACAAAGCACAAAACAGGCAACTCGAGTTTATTATCGTTGTTCTCGATGTGATTGGTTGAAAAAGAAAAATGGTTCTGGTCGAACAGCTTATATTACTATGGTTAATGATACTATTGTTGGTACAGCATATCCATTGCATAATGAGTTATGTCAACTTTATACATCATCAGCTCTTCGCATGAAGCAATTCGATCGGATAGCAAAAAAAGAAGTTTTGCATAATTTCAAAAAAGATGAGCAGCTAAAGGTATCATTTATTTAGTCTTTTCACTTCTTCAAAAATTTAACTTTTATCTCATCAACGTTTAAATTCTAAGTGTAGTTTCATGTATGTATCTGTGAGACATTGAACAATCATAAGTTTAATTTTTTATGATTAAAACTTATTCATCTTCCTTCTGGAAAAGTTTATGAAGTGTTAAAATGTAACAAAATTGTTTCGTGTTTTATCTTTTTTTTTTTTTTTTTTTTTTAGAAAAGTGAGAAAATTGGAAGATTATAGTAAATGAGGGAATAATTTAGAAGTGCATTGCCTTGGATTTTTTATTGATGAAAGCATCGTTTGAATTATTTGTTAGATAGTAGAAGAAAAGTTGGGTTTTTTGACAAATGCTGTATTTGCAGCTTTTAGTGGAAAATATGATTTTAAATGGTTGTCAAGAATTTTTTTTTTTTTTTAGAAAATTACATGATGGAATGCATTATGGTCAGCTAAATTGAAAGCGAAATCAGTAATGAATATAATGCGAGTAATGATTATGATAATAAAGTGATGTTAAGGTTAAGGTTAATGAAGAACTTCATATAGCTGATCGTTCGATATGTCAGAGTGGTCACAAGCGCTCTCAATATTGGAATGATACATATCTTCAGGAAAGAACGTTTCCGGAGTATATTTTTGCTCATTTTGGAGGTCCTGCTAATTTTGAACAAAGGTCCGATTTATCAGTTTACTTAGTCTCTTTTTTTCCGCTTCATTTTCTCACTCAAATTATGATAATGTAATTTTTGGCTGTTTTGTGATTTACATATATGGCCATTTACTGTTTACGTCTTACAGAGTTTATAAGATAGTACTGAAGGGAAAGTCAAGTTATACCTATTTAACATTTTTGATATAATAATTTGATATTTTTAATGAAATAAGTTCTGATTAACAGTTTTTTAAGTTAAACTTTTTTTTTAATTTAAAACTATCATTATAGCATTATGATATATGGTACAAATAATAAGTGGAGTGAGATTTGGTAGTAAATAGATATTTTCTTATTTTATGAAATATTTCAGCTGTACACTTCCACAAAAAGAAGAGGTGTGTTTAATTACGAACACAGCTGTGGTTTTGGACTGAAAAGATGATTTAAAAAAAAAAAGAAAAAGAAGTATTTCCGGTCAAGAGTGAAATGAAAAGAAAATACTCCTGACATATCCTAAATAATTATTATTAAAGCTGATTACTCTTCTTCATTTATCATTCTTTTGTACTCGAGAAATTTTTTTAATTTTACATGCTTTTTTTTTTTGTTACAAGCTTATTGTTGATCATTTTCTATCGGAATGGTCTTTCTTTCTTTCTTTCTTTCTTACAAGAACTGTGATTTGCTTTCTGCTAATAACGTACCTTTTCAAATTCAATTTTATTCCAGTTCGTTTTTTTTTTTCCTTTTTTTTTTATACTATCGCATTTATAGTATGATTTCCACTGAGATTACTGGTGGTTCTAAGTGCCGCATAATTTTTTTTTTTTTTATTACTTTTTTAGCATTTTATTTTGTTATTTATTATGCATACAATTGTGAGTGTAAATGATGTGCTTTTATTAATATATTGTTTGTTTATTTATTCTTGCCAAATGACCAGCATAATTTTGAAGGAGCATATTTTTTAAGTGTAGTAGCTTATTTCATATTTTTTGGCACATTGTAATTTACATTATCCAGTTTTGTAACTTCTTTTTTTTTCTTATTTTTACTCATAGTGGTAAATATAATATCAAGTAAAAGTATAATAAGGCATTGTAAAGAAAAATATATATATGTTAATTTAAAGAACTGTCATCTTTTAGATGAAATTTTACATTTAATTAAGATGTTAAGATGTATTATACGTATTATCAAATACGTGTAAACGTGTTCTTTTTTTTTTGTTTTTTATTATTGTGTACATTGTGTTGTATCTATTTGAGATTCCATTAATGTTGCATCTAGCTCTTTAGCTGTTAATGCTAGTTTTTCTTCTACATTTGCTAATTGTTTTGTTGTAGTAGTTGTTACTAATGCTGCATGTTTAGTTGGTGCTTTTTTATGAGAAATATATTCGTGAGCTTTTGATTCTCCCCATTCGAAAGGAGCTTTTCGATCGATGTTACGTCGTTTAATGGCAGCAACAAATAAATTTTCAATTTGATCATAATCAGGTCGATGATGATAACGAAGCAAAGAGATATATTCCAAGATAGCACCGAATTGCTTTGGACAACCCTCAATGTTTGAATTTGTTTACTTTTGTATAATTCGTTAAGTTTGCATTTCTTTTTTTTAAAAAAGAAAAGGAAAAAAGGCTATTTCTATTGTCAATTTATATTATTTTATTGTTTTTTTTTTTTACCAACTATAGGAAAATTTTATGTGCTTCTCAAAATTGAGTTTATAATCGAGTTTATATTTTGATGGATATCTTTTTTTTTTTTTAAATTTTGCTATTGTAAAAGTATATAAAGCTAAATTTATTTTAATTATTATTATTTTTTTTATATCAGAATGATTACTAGATTTTATATAACATTGATTTCCGAATTAAAAAAAAAAAAAAAAGTTTACCTGGAGCAATCTTCTATTACTGACCGTTTGTTTGATAACAGCAGTTTCTTTTCGATCTAAGCCTTTCCATGGTAAACGACCAGCAATGAATTCAATTAACATATACATCATTGACCTTAATATTTAGTTTATTTGTTTATTTGTTTATTTTTTGTTACTTAAGTAAACAAATAATCCGTTAGCCTTATGGTTTTCTTTGTTTTTTTTTGTAATGAAATGAACAAAAAAAAGTTGTAATGCTAATAATTTGCGCATTTTCTTTTTCTCGTTTAATTATTGATAGATTACAAATTATAAAATCTGTGTAATTAATTACAATGTTTATTTTTTTTTTGAAATTCGATTAATTTGATAATTCATTAAATATTTTTCTTTATTACTGTTTATTATGTCTTAATTCATAAAACATTGCCATTGTCATCATATAAATTTTGTTAATTGCGATAATTTCTTCATTATTTCTCTAATTTATATTAAAGAGTTATTTTTTTTAAAGGAATTAAAATTGATTTAATTACTTGTAAAATTTGTCAACTGTATGTAGTTCTTCTTCTTATTTCTATATCATTTATTTAAAAGCTATGAGATAATTTATTATATTAGTTTCTATTTTTAGAATACCATAAATCATCGTGACGTCCTTGTTCCAAATGTTTATGTACATTAACGCTACAATATGCGACAGTACCACGAAATGATGCACGTGTACGTGGTTTACGTAATTTAAGTGCTTTAGTTTTCGTATCATATGTAGCAAATTGTCGTGATAGACCAAAATCCAAAATGTATAATATATTAACATTTTTTAAACCACTTGCAAAATTTCCTGGTTTTACATCGCGATGGATGAAATAGATGCTGTGAAGATCACGAAGAGCCTTAGAATGAAGAATGATTAAAATATTGAAAATGTGATAGATACTTTCCTTTTTTTTTTTTTTTTGAAATAAAAAAATGTTTAATATTTTAATGTATTATAGTTTATATTTAAAGAAATTTGAAAAATTATATGCAATTAATTTTAATGAAAATTTTGGAAATTTTTGCTAAATGATTTTGTCTTCAGAAATGTTGAAAAATTTTATGTTAAATTAGATTTCATAGTTTAATTTTGCTAACGATTTTGATTTTATGGAAATTTTAAGAGAGTTTATTTGCAGGAAAATTTTAATAATAGAAGATGTAAAAAATAAGGAAATAGAAATAGGTATGAAAATATATACAGTAAGAGCTTGAAGAGCTATTTTTAAAACGGTAGCTATTGTGAATTGTCGATGTGGTGCTATTTTGTGTAATTCACTGAGTGATTTCCCGAGTAATTCCATAAGCAAAAAATTAAACATTGCTGTACGACCTTTAATTAATTTTTTTTTTTTTTGAATTTAATTCAACAGAATAATTTGCTTAATTAGCAATTTTAATATTTAATTGTTTGCTTATTTTATAATTCAATTATTCACTAATTATTCATTTTGTTATTCAAATTTATATTTTAATTAATCAGTTAATCATTTATTATTTAGTATTATTAATTATTATTATTATATTACCTGCTGCGACAAAAGCAGGAACGTGTTTGGAGTATTGCATACGTCTTAAAATACATGCTTCTATTCGAAGTAATTGATCATTATGATCTAAATCACGTGATTCCACCTTCATTGCTAGATGTTTCGTTTTATCTGCATGCTAAATTGCAGGTTATTTGCATCGCTAATTAATTAGGAATTAGAAATATTTTAAGTAGAAGTATAAGAAAGCTTAATTAGAAATATATTTTTAGCACTGATAATTAATTTATATTCTAACAATGAAAATTGCAAAGTGTTTGATACATTTTTGCTAAATAAATTTAGATTTTATAAAGTTTTTAGTTTCATTATATAATTTTGATAACATTAGACTGATTAATTACTATCAAAGCTGACAAATTAAAAAAAGAAGTCAGTTATTTGCATCGCTAATTTGCATCGCTAATTAATTAGGAATTAAAAATATACGAAAGCTTAGTGTGTTTGATATATTTTAGCTAATTAAATTTAGATTTTACAAAGTTTTTAGTTTTACTATTAGATTGTGATATAATTTTGATAACATTAGACTGATTAATTACTATCAAGGCTGACAAATTAAAGAAAGAAGTCAGTTATTTGCATCGCTAATTTGCATCGCTAATTAATTAGGAATTAAAAATATACGAAAGCTTAGTGTGTTTGATATATTTTAGCTAATTAAATTTAGATTTTACAAAGTTTTTAGTTTTATTAGAAGATAACATTAGTGATGTTTGATTATATTTTAGCTAATTAAATTTAGATTAATATAAGTTTTTAGATTTTACACATTGAATATAATTTTGATAACATTAGACTGATTAATTATTATCACAAAAATTGATAAATTTAAAAAAAAAAAGAAAAAATTTAGCTGCTTACTTTTGTGCATACTTCAAATACAGCTCCACAACCACCTCTACCCAATTTTTTTATCACAATCCAATCACCAACCGTATCAGATGCTCTTAAGCCTAAAAGTTTACTATCACTTCTACCGGACATCTTTCTAAAATTGCATTAGAACATTCAATTAAATATTCCATCAACACTCTCACAGCCACATTTCTATAAAATTATTGTTAAAATAATTGCAACAAAATATTTATATCTTTTATCTTTTATCACTATCAACTTATCATATTTGAATAATAATAATAATAAATATATTCAGAAAATAAAAGAAAAACCACCCGAAGAATGTAAATAGGAATGATCATATTTAAAAGCTAAAAATATGTGCTTAATTATCTTTTACACTTTTCTCTAAATTCGAATTTTCAAATGAAATTTGAAATAATTGAAATGTTACAAAAATAAATTCTATCAATTAAGTATTCATTTATTTTTATAGTTAAAGTAATAAATTATATGATTATTAGCAACATAAAGCTAAATATTACATTTAAAAAATTTTCACAAAGATTTATGATGAGGTATTAATTATTCTTACCTTTGTTTTGCTATGATTGATTTTATAATATGATTTGGAATATAGTAAAAAATATTGTAAAAGAAGCTTTTCTTTTTTTTTAATGCATCTTAAAAGTAAGGAAGAATAAGTAACTTGATCAACTTTTTTTATTTTCTATCCGATTATTTAATTATTTTAATTAATATAAATCAAATTTTAATCAACTAGTGAATAACACTGATAACAATTTTTCTCCTCTAATTTGTCAGTTAAAAATTAAAGTTCACGAAAATTAAATTTTAATTAATTTTTTTCTTCAAAAAAAAGTGATAATATTTATAAAATGAAATATAAAGAAAACTAAAATATCAATAATTAGCGAAGTAAGAGATTGAGAAATGTATTAGATTGTATTAGAAAAACATATCGCATATATATCTATTATAAATATAGCACAAAGTTAAATGATATTAATTATTAATTTATAAATATGCAATTGAAATGAATTTACGAAATTTTAAGTATGAAATTCAATAAATTTAAATAATACTTTCTCTTGCATCTGATCATCCACTATCTTCCACTATCATTATCAATAAATTAGAAAAGAATGAGGATTTTTCAGAAATACTCAAGCTAAATTATGAGATTTAAATTTTCTTGACTTTTTTTAATGAGATTTTTAAACATTTAACACAATTTTTTCTATATTCAAATATTTAATATGAATGTAAACATGAAATGATAAATGAAACTTTTACTTTTTTCATACTGCTTTTTTTTCTCTCTCTCTCCCTCTTTCTATCATAATTCTTGATAAGAAAGGAAGAAATACATTTTCACTCTTTGTTTTTAGCTAAATGAGAAAAATTCGATTAAAAAAACAATCGTAATAACTTTCACAAGCCTACTGTTTTTAAAATTTTCAGATAAAAAGGAAAAAGTATTTTCTGCAATTTAGAATTTTTCATAATCTTATCAACGAAAATGTACTGTACATAAATAATCAAAATAGATTTAAAATAGCAAATTATCATAATTTCGAATGAACAGTTTTTATTATTCGTATCAGCAATTTTGCTAAATATTAGTAAGGTTACTTTGTGTTTTAAAATAATGGAAAACGAAAAGAGTGAATTTTAATACAAAACAAAGTCAGTTTTTTTTTTTTACTTCTATAACTTATTTAAGTAAATATGTAATAGGTAATAAGTAAATGCTTAAAAATCCAAAAAATAAATTTTGATTTCGCGACAATACCACTGACCGCAGTACTCGGTTATATGTTTCCAGTAGTAAAGAAGAAGTTGAAAAGTGCTGGAACAGAATATAACCGAATGAATTTTCTTCAACAAGAAAAAAACGAATAATGCCATTGAAAAATATTTAATTATCTACTTTTATCTTCTAACATTCCACTTCACAAACTTTTCATCAAAAGAAATCATTAAAAATCTTCAATTCAGTCCAAAACAAACGGTCTTTAATTTACATCTTGTCATACTGATGATTTGAATAATCAGAACTGATGGAATGTCTTTTATCAAAAAGTTGTCTCAGAGGTAAAAGAATAAATTAATTGAAGCAAACAATTTACCAAGTGGCAACGTTTTACACAACCTACAGAACAAGCATAATGCTCGAGACTGAAAATGATAATTATGTACAATCGACTAATTTCATAATTCAAATTATAATTTCAACCTCAACGCACAACCAATCAATTTATTAACCGATCAGTAAAGCAATGAAAATCTAATAGTAACTGAATCATACATAAAAGCTAAATTATTTAATGTTCGAACTTAATTCTCTAAGAATGAAAGTGATGTATGAAATATCACAATAATGCTTAAAATTGAAATGAAAATCAAAATATCGTTGTCGAATTGAATTTGTTCTGCCAGAAAACAATAATCAATGTGACAAGATACATACCAGCAGCTACCCAGCACTGCGTCGCCTTTTCCGCATATTTATCTTCAATTACGCTAAAAAATAGTTTTGTTATTTGTCACATACATTGTTCCGATGTGAAATGATTGTATAAAATAGAAATAATGATTATTTTCTCTCGAGAGAAAAGAGAAAATAACTTCAGCTTTTCTATGCATATTAATCAATAACACTGCATCAAGATATTAAGCAATCAATCAATCAATTATAAATGTTAAGTTAAGTATATGATTGATTTTATTTTTCAACAGAAAATAGTTTAAATTCTAAAATAACTAACGCAGTTGTTAATGGCAAAGCCCCTGCTTCATCCTGTTCAAAATGAAGGTCAGGGAATAAATTTACTGCTTGAACGTAGAAAAAAACACCAAGCAGACCAAGGAAAAAAACACCCCAAACTGACATTACCATGCTAAAATACAAAAATTTATTTTTAATAAATTTAAACAAATAAAACTTCCATATTATCTAAACAAAAATACACATTCAAATCTATCACTATCATTTCATAAATAAATTAGCTGGGAAAAGTTAAACTAAAAAGTAAAGATTTAAAAATATTTCATAGATATTACTATCTTATCATATCATATCAATGAATTTTCTCAGTTTAAACTTTGTGCCTATTGTTTTTCCTTCATCAAATATGGCATGTAAAATTTAACAAAACTTCAATAACATACCAAAAAGCTGAAAGCTTTGGTCCGCATATTGGACATAGTTTCATTTTTGCATAACCTGAAATTATATGAGATGCTCAAAATGATATCAACAACAACAACTGAGGTCAAATGTCAACCACCTGCATCTGAAACACACCATTCATCCTTAATTAAAATGATCCAACAACTCAAATTTATCGTAAATAAATGTAACGCTGCAAGAGCTACAAATGATCTTTAATCTTTAGTCTTCAGTCACTACGTGGTATCGTTGTGCAACACTGATTGGACGAGTTGCTTTTTTTCATTCCCGAGATTTCTTGCTATTCGAGAGATCCGAGTTGAGAGATCGCTAGTAACATGTTTCTTTTTTATTTATTCGAGGTATCATTCTAGCGGAATATGCAAATGATTTATAAATATTATGTCCTTTGTGCATCTTACAATCTAACTTTATCTTATCACGAAATTTTCCGATTCCTTTTTCTTATCTTTTATCAAATAGCTAAAATATCCTAGAATATTCTTATCATATCATAACGATGTATCAAATTATGCAACATATTCGTTCACTCAAATTATGCAATTCATTTACAAACCGTTTTGCAAGTGGAATTGTCAGGAATGTTTCCTACGAGAATTTCAGATGCATATCACATTTTCTTAATTAACGCAAAATATATGACAGTGTATAATTGTTTTTTTTGTTTAACTGTTCCTTTTTCAGGATTCATTTTTGTTTGTTTAATTCTGTTTATTTGAGAATTCGTTGAAATGGGTGTAATCATCCTGGTATTCACAGTTACAGCATTCTGGGTTATTGTAGGCGTTGGTGGTCCATTCATTGTGCCAAAAGGACCAAATCGAGGTATACTATATATGAAAAACTTTTTTTTCTAATTCATCCGTAAATGTATTCTTATAATAGCAAATCAGTTTATGACAACTCATGAATTTATTAATCTTTTAATTTAAAAAAAAAAAGAAAAAATGTCATTGCTTTGATTGAGATCTTAACAGTTGTAAGTTTTTAAATGGGTGATTGATTTTTTTTTGCTAATCATTTGCTGATGAATTATTCACAAATAAAAAGTAAACATTGTCCACCTTTTTATATTATCATAACACAGCCTTGATTGCTTACATTTGAGAAAATGGTATGTAACTATAGTGAAACTGAATCACATGAATTTTGTTTTTACCTTTACTTTATAACATTTTTGCTTCAGTTTATATAATGTCTAGCTCATGTGTATGATTATTGCAGGAATAGTCCAAACGATGATTGTATTAACCGCTTGTTGTTGTTGGCTTTTCTGGATTTTGGTTTATTTGCATCAGTTAAATCCCCTTATTGGTCCTCAGTTGCCAGTGAGGACAATACGTTGGATTTCGGAGAAGTGGGGTGATGCGAAGGAACTTGTTCCATCTTAAATACAGTCACTTATTTGCTGTTGAGTAGTTTATCTTTTTTTTTTGTTTAGAGTATAATCAATTCCGTATATACTGTGATAATGTAGTTAATATCTATCGAATTCATGAATGGAAGATGAAATAAAATATACAGAGATTAATTGATGAGATACAATCATTTATGCTTTATCTATCTTCAAATACTTCACTGCTTCAAAAATCAGTCTTCAAATTAATTGTTTCCGATTTTCTCGTAGTTCTTTTATGCAATCGCTTCCTCATTTATTTTTCACAGGATTGCAACTTATCAAATTTCTTCGAATACACATTTCTCTCTCTGTGTTTACACATTTAATTGATGTTTTACTTTTTGGACGTAGTGTTTTATTCTCTTTGTACAGTACATTCATATACATACAATATATTCGTATATATTAATAAATTTTTCAAAGTTTCTGCAATTGTCATATGTTAGAATAAGTGTAAGAGTGCATCATATTTCACTTTTGCTTGTAATTGATTTGAAATAAAATTATTGATTTGATTAGTAAACAATTTCTGAGTCATTTCTGATAAGCTTACATTTCAACTAAGACATTAATGTTCATGGCTTTATTATAAATTATCTCGTTCTATTATTTTCACTAATTTATTTTCAATTTTACTACAAAGGAGACAATAGCTTTAAGATAATGAAGACGTGTTTGATTGATGATAGTTAGCTTCATGACATGTTTAATACAGTTAGTTTTAGGGTAAGGATTAAAAATTGACGCAGGTTGGACATATCAGGAACTAAAGCATACTGAAGAACTTAAAACCAAATATAAAGTATATTCGCAGATAAAGTTATTTTTAAATTACTTCTAGATAAAAGATGTTTCGTAACCAGTACGACAGCGATGTTACGGTTTGGAGTCCTCAGGTAATTTCCAATGTCACGTATTCAAATACGTGGTAACGTATTATATGTTAAGGTTAACGACTAATTTTTTGCATTTTTATGACTGCTTAACTCATTCTTTGTATTTCTAATGACAAGAATTAGGTTTCAAAATTTTATCTTGCTGATTCCTTACAGTCAATGAATTCTTTTAGTGTAGTTTAGAAAGATTTATTAACTTATTCAAAGATTTATTCTGTTATTATTTTAGGGTCGACTCCATCAGGTTGACTATGCTGTGGAAGCAATGAAACAAGGTAGTGCTACTGTCGGAGTGAAAAGCAATACGCATGCTGTTCTGGTAGCATTGAAGGTGAAGTTTATGACTGAAATTTATAACTGTTTCTTAATTAACCTTTTATAATCGATATAAGATCACATGTTCATTGCTGTTTATAAAAAGATCCAATAAACATCTCTTTTCGTGTAAATCAATACGATTATCATGATATAATTGTGATTATTTCTTTATCATTGCATGTGATCTTATATCGATTATAAAAGATAGCAAATATATATTTCTTGTGCGCTGTTTGCATATCAAACTAGTCAAATTGGCAAAAAAAGATCTATCTCATACGTATCATCCATATACTACTCGAATTGTTTTAGTTTTATCAAGTTTATTATGATATATAACTGAATGAAAAGTTTATTATTATGGTATACGACTGAATCGTATATGACATTTGTTGACAAGAAATATTTGAGATCGAATTCTGTTGAAAGTAATTGAAGTTATTAATATTTGAGGTCAAATTCTGTTGAAAGTAATTGAAGTCGTATAAATTTCCAGCGTGCTGCAAATGAACTATGTTCGCATCAGAAGAAAATTTATGAACTGGACACGCATGCCGGTGTTTCCATTGCGGGTCTTCTTTCTGATGGTCGCATACTTGCGTTAGTATTGATTTTTTTTTTTTATTTCTACAATTTGAAATATATATGGCTATATGTTTATGTTTTGCTAAACAACTTATTAGTTACAAGTCAATCGTTGCACAGCATTGTGCTAGCTTCTTTTACTTTCATTACAATTTGATATATATTTATTCTAGTGAAATCAAATATTAACTTATTAAGATTTATTGAATAGAGGATCCATTACTATGGAACTTACCAAAAATAAATATTTATCCTTTTCTTTCTTTGTAATGGATTTCTCTATGTGTTCTTAAAATTATATTCAGTTGAAGTTTGCTTTTAGGCGTTTTTTGCAAACCGAATGTTCGTCATGGAGATGGGATTACAAAGAGCCAGTCCCTATTCAGGTTTTAAACAATCGCATTCAACTAAGTGAGTTTATTTTGCCATATTAAAAATTTATCATTTAGAAAAGATTATTGAGGATAAGAGGAAGTGAACAACTCGTTCAGTATTATATGGAAATCGCAGATTTGTAAAAGATATAAATACCATTATAGAATGATTCAAATTTTTTTTTTTTAATTTGCATATTCTAAATTGGAGAACACACAACGTTTTTCAAACAAAATATCTTTTTCGTTAAATTCAAAATTTTCAAGCAAATTTCTTAATATAAAGTTTACAAATGAAAATAATTGATTTCTCTTGATTTTTAAAAAAGAATTTTTCAGAACTACAGGCAAATACACAAATTTATGGAAGACGTCCATTCGGTGTTGGACTTGTTATTGCTGGTTATGATGTAAGTTCATCATATGCCTTTTTTTTTTTAATTTTTATTTTGATTGTAACATTGAAAATCTTGCAACCAAAAATTTTTCTGCACATCATAATCACTAGTGTGAACCAATTTACATATTGAATAATTCTTTGCATACTGCAGATGATAAAGCTCAACTACTCATTTAACTAAAAGTGTTTGTATTTTAGAAGCAATCTATGATATTTATGATATTTTTTGATAGTTGATCGTTAATCTATGACTTTTTTTTTTTATAAAAACAATTTTGGCACCTTCATAACGCTCTGTAGATAACACTATTCATCACCTTCTCCTCACAATATTATTGTTTACCCCATAGCATATTTTTAGTGATATAATGATCATTTTTTTTTTGTATTATATTTCAGGAAAGAGGAACACATATCGTAAAGACTGATCCATCAGCAGAAGTTGTCGAAACATTGGCGTGCTCAATAGGTGCTCGTTCTCAAAGCGCACGTACGTATCTGGAGCGGAATTTAGATCAATTTCCTACTGGTTTGTGTTTAGAAATGAATCTAATATGGATTATCCATTTTGACTGTAGAATGTTTTTTTTTTTTTCCTGTTTTTAGAAAATGTTTGTTATTTATCATTTAGTCAAAAGAATTTTGAAAATAAGTTTAAACATTATATGCTTATTTTACAGCAAATGTTGAACAGTTGGTTGAGTATGCCTTGCTAGCACTGAGAGATACACTACCCGCTGAGGATAGTTTATCAAAAAAGGTAATTTCCTCTCTCAAATGATTTCTGTTTAGATGTGAAAATTGATTACTGCACATCTGTTATAGTTAGTATTCTGTTTTTTTATGCATTGATTACTTTTGGACTTCAAAAAAGAAATAACAAATTTTTTTCTTTATGTAAGTGCAATATTTTATTGACATATTGTAAGATTAAATTTTCTCTTATAATTTATAATTTATCAACTTGGTATAACACATATTACAGAATACAACAATTGCTATTGTGGGTAAAGGTACACCGTTCAAAGTAATGGAAGATGACGATGTGCAACCATTTTTAGATCGCATTGCAGGTGTTCCGAGAACTGGCCAACAAATTGGCGGTGAAGTAAGTTTACAATTTCTTTTGAATATTTTGATACCATTATCACAAATGTTATTATTGTTGCGTAATATCCAATAGTTTACACTATCAATCCTTATTTCCTCCTTTAAATTTCATCTCTTAAATTTCAGTCCTTAAATTTCTTATTTATACTTTCAATCCAAATAGTTATCGAACTCAGTTTAATCTTAGTTTCATACTGTACGAGTTAGATTATATGTTAATTGAATTTATGGGAAAATTTCTTTGTTATAAACATAAACTTTTTTTCAGCAACAAGGAACGGCAGAACCTATGCAGTTGTGATGGTTTTAGTTTATTTATAACCGATTATTTGAATGTTGCAATCAGTTGTTTCGCATTGTGGATATTCCTTCGTAAATTTTTATGCGAATGAATGTAAGGAAGTGAATATATTTTAAAATTTTGATATATAATTGATAATAAAGAATAAGAAATGGAAAAGATAAATGTGCTCACATTTAATTTTTGTTTTGAAATTAGATCTGCTTATTAGAAAGTAAAATTTGTTGTTGAAGGAATAATTTATCATTGCATAAAATTTCGATCCTTTTTAGAGATACTTTTGTTTCTCGTGACTGATTTAATATGTAGCATTGTTACTTTCATAACATATTTGAATAAATTCAATATATTGTCGGTGAAGCTTAAAACCATTATCAGCCATGAATTTAACATTCATAACTGATAATAAGTTCATTCGATATTCATTTTAATTGCTGTTTTTTTCTTTTTTTCTTTTTTGTTGGAATAAATTTTTAATTTTCTATTATCTTTTACACATATTATTTCTGAAAATGAACCATTAATTCAGATTTTGGAAATGATATCCTAAAGTTCCGCAATAGTATGAGCTCAATTTTTATGAATTTGATACTCTACAGACTGAACTTTTCACATTATCTAGGCTTAAATTATTTATTTCTTTATTATTTCTATTTCTTTACTAAAATTCCTTATTTCTTTATTATTATTATTATTATTATTATTATTATTATTATTATTATTATTATTATTATTATTATTATTATTATTATTATTATTATTATTATTATTATTATTATTATTATTATTATTATTATTATTATTATTATTATTGTTATTATTATTATTATTATTTCTTGATTTCTTTATTACTTTTGAAAAAGCTATCCATAATCAAAATCACTCACTTTGTCATTTAGTTATTAAACGAGTTTGGACTTAAGGATCATTAGAATCACTGCTAGAATGAAATTTTCAATCTTATTGATTCCTTAGTAAAATATTTTTCTTTGACATTGAATTATTTTA